ATAGTAGTGCCCTTAATAAAGGAGCCGGACGTAGAGCACTATAATATAAAAAAAAAAAAAGCTATAGTCAACATTTCCACTCCTCTCCTCGTAGACACACATTCGGTATATCCCTTCCACGTCTCTCCAAAATGTGCGCCTATATGACCATTTCCACACGAATCCACAACTCTTCACACTGTCCGATACGAGTACTGAGATGTGCGGCCAGTTCGATAGCTGGCCGCGGCGGGGAGCTCCAATCAGTGCCAAAAAGTCGTCTCGCATCGTAGCATTGGCGTTAGCAATCTCTCGACTCATCTCTGCTTTACGACTCCTTTTGAGAAGTTAGCTTCAGATTGCGCAGTGTTGCCAACATAATATAGCGCGGGAAATTTTAAATTCCTAACGCAGAAAATTTTATTATATATATGTGGTTGGTAATTCTTCTGTCGGTACTTGATAGGATTTGTTTATTTAAAATTCTGCTCTTGAGCGAGCGAAGCGAGTGAGAGAGCCATTATTTTAAATATACTGTGTGAAGTGAAAATTAAAATTTCCCGCTTGTTAGCAGGCTTATACGACTGTTTATGTATATATATTATCCCCTGACGCCGTCAAGCTTTCAAGTTTAAACTTGCTATTCATTGTTTTTTCGTTGTGCCTGTCAAATCTCGTTTTTCTATATTAAAATGGTTTTTTTACGTGAATTGTTTGTTATAGAGATGACACTGACACCTTTGCAAACCATTTAAGAGTTTCAGATTCGCGGATTATTGGCAAAAACTGCAATTTGTTCTCAGTGTAGCAATGAGATGTACTTAGGTGAGAAATTTAGTCTGACGGATAAGTACGTATGGAGGTGCTGCAAATGCAAAACCTTGAAGTCAGTGCGTAAAAATTCTTGGGTTGACGGTTCGCATTTATCCATGCACAAAAATTTTTAAATTACGTACATGTGGGCATATCGGTTTTCTCAACAGCATATTGTGAGAGAACCTGAAATTTCTAATAAAACATGTATTGACTGGTGTAATTTTTGTAGAGAAATTTGTGTCGAAATTGTCTTTCATCTCAGTGCTGGAGAACAAATTGGAGGTGTCGGAAAAATCGTCGAGATTGACGAATCTAAATTTGGCAAACGAATGTACAATCAAGGCAAGCGAGTTTAAGGACAGTGGGTTTTTGGAGGTGTTGAGAGAGGTAGCAACAAGTGTTTTCTTTTTAGTGTTACTGACAGGTCAGCTAAGACTCTAATGCCACTCATAAAACAGTATGTGAAACCGAGTACAAAAATTGTGAGTGATTGCTGAAAAGCTTACGATTGTTTGAGTAAGGAAGGTTATCAGCAACTGACCGTTAATCATTCAGTAACATTTAAAAAGGAAGACACTGAAGCTTGTACCATTACTATCGAAAGTATGTGAACTGCTGTTAAATGGATGTTTCCAGCAGCTAATAGAAGTAAGGGTAAAAGTGTAGATTACGACTCCGTACGAGAAGTTAGCTTCAGAACTTGCAGTGCTACCCTAAGAGCATATACATATCAAGGAAGCACGTAATGGGATAACGTGTAGGCAATTGAAGAGAAAGAAAGCAATAGGTTTTGGGTACCCCACTTTTTAACCATTTTCTCCTTGTTCGTTCGCGATTGGCTATCCGTTGACTATATGTATAGGTACAGTAGTATTTCACTTTGAGTGAGTGCCGTCTGCTCATAAAATTTACATCAGTTGAGTCAAAAGTTTAATTATTGTAAGTATCACAGTGAATAGCTAATGTAAGCGTGATTTTGTAAAAGTTTTGGTTAAAAAAAAAACAACATAAAAACGTGTTTCGTGCCAACGCGAAAATCTCAAAAGTTACGACTTGGCAGCTAAAAATATAACCTTTCACAGGTAAATACTTATGTACACTCTCTTTAGAAGTTTTAGTATTATACTGTACAGAAAAATAGAGTTGCATATGAAATATATGTTATTATATGTATAATGTTTTAGTGCTGGCAAAAATGAAAAAAAAAGAGAGCAGTGGGCCTATAATCTAGCTATTCGTTGTCAAATAAAAATGACGAACAACTCTTTTATTTGCAGTCATCGTTTTGAACCAAAATACTTTTATACTTGTGTGCTTCGCAAAAATGTTAGACTAGGATCATTCAAAATCACGCTTCTATTAGCTATTCACTGTGATACTTACAATAATTAAACTTTTGACTCGACTGATGTAAATATTATGAGCAGACGGCACTTACTCAAAGTGAAATACTACTATACCTATACATATAGTCAACGGGGACGTGTCGAGAGAGCGCTCCGTAGGAAAGAGTAATTAAAAAGTAATTAAAGTAAAATAAAAGAAATAAAAGTACGAGGAAGTGTAAAAAGTGAAGAAGCAGCAGAGAAAAAAGTGTAAAGTTAATAAGTATGAAAGTTTGAAAGGATGAAGTGAGATTAGTGTGGTAGTGTCAGGGTAAAGAGAACACGTGTAAGGCAAGTAAGGAGTGGGTAGTAAGAATAGGGGATAATANGTTATTAATATAACAATTTTTAGTTTCCACGTGTCTTTGCCCCTTCACTGCTGTGCTGTCTGCTCGACGGAACATTCTCCCTAGATCTTATAGCTATATTTACGATCTAGGGAAAAAGTTCCGATAATGGGTGTTTTCCGCAATCGTCACCAGCAAGTAATTTAGGTTTCGCTTTACGTTACCGTCAAGTCGGTAAGATAACTACCTTGAATTAACTGGCGCTCTGTTCCGTAATCTGGCCAGTAAAAACAGCAGACGACAGTCAACAGCGATGAAATCTTTAAACTTTTTTCTCGACTTTCACGTCATCTGCTGTTTTAATTGGCCAGATTACGGAACAGAGCGCCAGTTAATTCAAGGTAGTTGACTTACCGACCTGATGGTAACGTAGAGCGCAACCCACTATTACTTGCTGGTGACGATTGCGGAAAACACCCATTGAATCCACCCATCCCAACGCTGGAGAAAGCAGTCAATTTTTTATGTCTATGCTTAGCTCTTGGTCTATTAGGGCCTACCTTAGGGCCTAGCAAAGTGTTGTGTATACAAAAATAAAGAATAAAAGGTCGTATATTTTCAATTGATTCGACCACCTATGCGTAAAGTTTTAATTGCTTCTGTCTCAAAATAGCAAAAAAAAAATATTTTTGAAAAGAAAAATTGGCTTATCTTAGACAGGTGTAATTAAAATACACTTGACATTCACGCATGCGCGCGTCACAGCTATTAACTATTTCCTAGATTATTTGCTGGAAATCCAATTTCTATTAATAAATTATTTATATTAACGAAGCTGTTATCAAACTCACTGAAGCAATTAAGAAGAGGTCAAAAGCAGTTTACTAGCGGTAGAAGCAATTCGAAGTGTTCCGTATTTATTATGTTATCACCTGTTAAAGATAAGCCAATTTTTCTTCTCAAAAATATATTTTTTTTTGCTATTTTGAGACAGAAACAATAAAAACTGTATGCATAGGAGGTCGAAGCAATTGTAAATATACGACCCTATTTTTTAAAAATTTTTGTATACACAACACTTTGCACGCTGGGGTGTAGGTGGTCAATTCGAGTGCGTAGGCTTCAATGTGTATAGATAATTGATTGCATGTAAGCAGTGGTGGGTAAATATAGTAACTGTGTATTTATTACATGACTTGTCATAAATGTAATTATTGTAATAATTAGTAATAAATGTAATGAATGTAAGAATACAGAGGATCGATTGCGGCGATATCTGAAATGCATTAGATGCTCTTATAAGACAATTAAAGACAAATTTTATATGACGTAAATAAATACTAAACTTATTAAAAAATTAATAACAAATTAACTTCAAACTTTAGACACATACAAAAATCGAGTTAAGTTGCTTCCAAGAAACCAAATATAATTTATTTATACATACCAATTTGTCATGTATTTTAATATGTAAAAAAAATAGCTCTTAGAATTGAATTAATGATATTAATTACACACCGTGGGCTCCAGGAACTCCGCGAATGACTTTCGAATTGGGACATGAAAAAAATACCCAAAATTGCGGAATCGTTAGCAACGTTTGCAATCACTTTGCAAAAAATTGTCGGATCTTCCGGNTTTATTACAATCATCACCCTTAAAGGTAATTCATTTTTTTTTTTTTTTTTTTAACAAAACATAAATAAAAGAAATGAAGACAAAATGATAAAAAAAAAAAAAAAAATCTACCATGAAGTGGATTTGAACCCTTAAGTGCCAAACAATCTACGAAGGGGCCTTATCCATCTTAGCTATCCGAAGAACACGTGATATCCCTTTCGAAGTCACATATGTTCATGGGTATCCCTTCGGAGCTTGTCTGACAGTTTACAGCAGTTAGGATGTGTAAAATTAATAAATTAGTGGTTAAAGCTGTCTGAAAACCTTAAAAAATAGGTGAAGCTACATATTTTTTAAAAACATAAATGGATTTGGGAATGTTAAAAGTACGGAAGAGTTAAAAAATAATGCATTAAAATCAAAATTCTGTGTATATAATTAATGAGCATGTAGTTCCACGATTTAATTAAATAAGATTTACAGATAAGATTGAAACCAAAGCGAGAGCAAGTCAGTTAAACATATATATAACAATTACCCGGTTGCAGAGTCAAAAGACTCTCAAAAGAGAAAAACTTGTGTCGTCGCTTGCTTTGGGCGTGCGCTCAGCTATACAGCTATATAGCCGACATTTCCACTCCTCTCCTCGTAGGCGCACATTTGGTATACCCCTTCCACGCGTCTCCAAAATGTGCGCCTATATGGACATTTTCACGCGAATCCACTCTTCTCACACCCCTACCGTGCTTCTCAAATGAAAAAAAAAGTGCGCCTGGTTCGGCCACTTGGCCGCGGCGGGGCGCTCGAACCACTGGAAAAAAGTGGGCAGACTCTGTAGCATGGCAGTCAGCAATCTCCCTACTAATCTCTGTCTCTTACATGAAAAAATTTAACAAATTGTGAACAAAACTCATTAGTATTTGTAAACGACTTTTAATAATGTGTCTTTGTTTTGCACAGCATAAATCTTTAAAATCATATAATGTGCTTTAATATATTCTATTGGTAATAATGAGCCACGTTTTATTAATTCATGATGGTTGAATAACAACCAGGGAAAATCACAGTACACAGATGTATTTTGAAGAATTGCGTAAGCTTTTTGATTCGTCAATATATAGACAATGAAAGATGCCTGAGATGGAAGTGGGCTGATACCATTTAATATCATAGACAGTCTTAAATACAAACTTCTGAAAAAATCTTCTGTTTTTCTGAAAAACATACCCCTAATGTTAAAGTAAATTTAGTTTTCTTAAAGAATGCTGTCAAAAAAACTTACTTTGGTCTACATAAACAAGATTGTTTGAGAAAAAAAATGTATTTTTCAATGACAATGTTGTTAACATCATAACATACAAAATTTAATGACTTAAAACTTGCTTTATTTCCATAAAATAGCGCTTTCAGAGTCTCGACAATATTATGAATGTATTCAAGCACTTCCGGATGTTTGCAAAAATTAACATTTGTGCCATACAGTATCTTCTTAACAAAAATCTCTTTCGGATACAATCTTCTGTAGTACAAAGTAGCATGTAAAGCCACTTCGATAAACTTCCATAAAATATCATGGTTTACTGATAAGAAAATATAGACGGATGTATTATACTAATTAAGAAACTAATTTTTAGGAAATCATGAATAATAGTTTTTGAATACTATGTCCAAATAAAAAAAGTTAAATACATACATGTATCAGACATAATTATTTGTGTTCAGTGGGTATCTAGATGAAATTTTGCAAAAAACTAGCTGGTAATCAGATTTGATCGATGTAAGGGCATGATAACGGTTTCCTTGGCAACAACATTTTACCATAGCCCATAGACACATAATAAATAGATTCTATATATGTCTGTGCATGTATGCATATTTGATTAAACGAACTTGAGAATCGTTGAGAGTTGAGAGTCTTCAGACTTCAGTATTTCTATGGTTCTATCACAGAGTGGAGCTATTCACATAGACATTTTTTGCTTATTTCATTGTGAACGTTCATATTGGAAAGGGGGTTCCACTGTTCCGCTAAACTCAAATTGAGTGAACAGACTGAACAGACCTATACTGTGTTCTTAGTTGCGACTATAGGCTTTGTTGCCTAATGGAAAAAGAGGTATAGATCTGTTCAGTCTGTTCACTCACTTTGAGTTTAGCGAAACAGTGGAACCCCTTTTTCAATATGAACGTTCACAATAAAATAAGCAAAAAATGTCGATGTAAATAGCTCCAGAGTATTTCAAAAGGAGGAGCGCGCCCTGAGGGCGCGCGACGCCGGAGTTGGTTAAGGGTATGTTCCAGTAACGCTCTCCGGCAACTTACCGACAGCTTGATTATATCTTACGATATCCTGCGTCATGTTTAAGTTGTCGATAAGTTATCGGATAGCGGATTCATACGGTAAAAAACATTTTCAACGTTTCCGATATCCAATTCAGAGTGAGCTATATACATGTACACATTAAGGTCCTATCACCTGACGACCCGGGGTGCTCACTGGCAACTCTGTTAAATAAATAATTATTAATAAATTACACAAGCGCCTATCACCTCATGACCCAGGGCACTTACTGGCCACTCTGTCAAATAAATAATTATTAATAAATAGCAGAAGCTCCTATCACCCAAACCCGGAGAGCTTACTGGCCACTCTGTTAAATAAATAATTATCAATAACACAAGCGCTTATCACCTAATAACCTGGGATGCTTATTGCGAATATTGTACATAAGTGATTATCAATAAATAAGTAAAGCACCTTTTTTCTGATGATCCATGACACTTACTGGCCACAATAATAAATAATTTAAAGTCAATTGATAACATATGTAAACAATTTACAACTTTGATTGATTGTCTAGTACGACAAAGATCTTATTAATTGGCACCCTTGTAATTGATTAATAATTTATTATTTAATAGTAGTCAGTAAGTGCCCTAGGTCATTAGGTAATGAGCGCTTGCGTGATTAATAATTATTTATTTATTGGAGTGGCCAGTAAGCACCCTGCGTCATCGAGTGATAGGACCTTAATGTGTACATATGTGTGGGTGTAATCCGCAATCGTCGCCAGCAGTTACATATGTAAGACGTGACAACGTTGCGTGGTTTGGGCGCTACTGTCGATTTACTAGTGATGTAATCCGCAATCCCACCAGCAGTAAAGCAGACGACGTCAGTCTACTTACTCTTTTTCGTGACATTTTTGTGTTTGTTTACGTCTAGCACAGTATGCTTTGTTTCCAATTAGAAGTTGTCACGAAAAAGAGCAAGTAGACTGACGTCGTCTGCTTTACTGCTGGTGGGATTGCGGATCACATCACCAGTAAATCGACAGTAGCGCCCCCAACCATGCAACGTTTTCACGTCTTACATATGTAACTGCTGGCAACGATTGCGGATTACACCCTATAGCTCACTCTGAATTGAATGTCGAAAACGTCGGAAATGTTTTATACCGTATGAATCCGAAGATCAATGTATTGATCCATTTCAGCTTTTGGAACGCTCCAAAAGTGTGCGCCCGCATGCTTTGGGCGCCCTCTCTTTTAAAATAACCTCGTAATTTTTCGCTGTATATAACAGTGTTGACATAGAGGATCTTCGAAACACGAACACCCACCCCACCATTATCGGAACTTACTAAGCCCGGGGCAATTACTCGTCGCTTTGATTATTTGAAATAAGTAAAAAAATTTCGCAAGCGCCTATCCCCACACAACTCGGGGCACTTACTGGTCGCTTAAATTATTTATGATTCATAAAAAGAAAACACAAGCGCCTATGTCCACACAATCCAGGGCGCTTACAACCCAATTTTTATTTTTTTAAATAATTCCAAGTTTTAAATCAGCCCGTACGTTTTGGTTGGCAAAAATTGTGTAATATACGTTAGGTGTAACCTCAGTTGAAAATTTAAGCTATAATTATACCTATACATTCTAGCTATAATTATAGCTATAACTACCTTTAAAATAGCTATAATAATGTACAATATTCAGCTATCAATATAGCTATGAATTACAGCTGTAATCTTTTCACTGACGACCTAAAGTATTTTTAAACAATTTTTAAAAAACTTGAAATTGTACATGATTTCTTTGTTTTTTTCTACTTATTCAAAAATACTTCAGGCCCACAGTTTTACTGTTATCATATGGATGATATCATCTGTACTGATCGATATATGTTAAAAAAGTCTGATTTTAAACTGATTTTTATTCATTATTTGTGAAAAATTTACAGCTGTAGTTTACAGCTATATTTATAGCTGAATTTTATACATTATTATAGCTGTTTTATAGGTAGTTATAGCTATAATTATAGCTCTATACGCTGACTGGAGCCTCCTATCCGCAGGTGGATTGTTTTTTGTTATATGTTGCGGTGAAATAATTATTTCAAAAGCTAAAAAATGGCAAATAATTAGCAAAAAATTATCCTTTTAATCCCGTTTGAATTGATGCTTCAGATCTAGAAGTACAGAGCTGGCTACGCTGGCTTCAGCCTCTAGTCAGTAGGACCACCGTTACTCGATAATGGTAGCAGCAATAAAATTTATTCTTGGCTGGAAAAGTAGCAAATAATTAGCAAAAAATTATGCCCTAAAGCTCGTTTTGATAAGTGTAAGAGATCTAAAAACATTACGTTGGCTACGCTGACTTGAGTCTCAAGTCAGCAGGACCATTGTTTTTAGAAAACGGCTATGGCAAAAAAATCAATTCTTTGGCAAAAAAATAGCAAATAATTACTTAGCAGAAAAATAAAGTGTGAGTTTTATTATGGCCCTATGACTTGGCTACGCTAGCTTCATAGACACGTAGATGAGTATTGTAGATAAGATTAGGTAGGGGTCTATTTTTTAAAAGGTTGATTTTCGGGTACAAGATGCATTCTAATCTTGCCGCAAATGGCACTTCATATCAACAACTTTTTATTTTCATCCATTGGTGTAAGTTGCCGGTGGTTAATGAAAAAGACTGCATAGCACAACTATAATTACCACATAACTCTTCACCAGAATAAAATATGACTGAAATATTTCGGATATCTACGAATCGTAAGGTTTTCCAATTCTTGTGCGAGCGGCGGCTGGTTAAAATTTTGGGCTGTGTGACATGGGCACCTGAACTGTTTCTAAAAATCTGCAAAAATAGCCAAAAAATTGCGCGTAATTTCCTCGAATTTCCGCTACTTGTAAAACCATTGCGCGTGACATACTTCTGTAGTAATTAATTATTATTTGCAGGTGCTGGGTAAATTTTCAATCATCCATTACAATAAATCTATCACACGCAGCTTAATTACAAGAACGCCATTAATTTCCGCGTAACACGCAGAATAAAATTGACTCTTGAGTTGTTATAAACTATTAACAGTTATGTAGTGCGCAAATATTTATTTATTTGCGTATTACCATATCAACTATACTATATCTAT